GGGCTGACCCCTCTTCCAGGCCCCTTCCTCCAGCCTGAGCTCTATGGGAATGGCCCCTTCTCCCCCCGGGACAAACCCAGTGGGTCCCCAAAAGTGCCCGGCCCCGCGCTGCGCCGGCTCTATGTGTGTGTGTATATAAATATATATATATATCCCGTTATATACATCCACACCTGGACGGAGATCAAAATGATCTGCTAGGGAACGCCTAATAAAAAGGGAGCATTGTCTCTTCCTAGAGGGGAGGGAGGGGAAAAAAAAAAAAAAAAGAAAGAATGAAAAGCAGAAAAACAACGTGTTGACTCGGTAAAATACGGCCCTGCGCCGGGAGGTAAAATATTTATTTTTGTTGTCGCATTTACACCCGGCGGTTTGGCCGCGGCCGCGTTTCCCGGCAGGTCTGAGGAGGGACGCGACGCTCAGTTCTCCTTTTGCCGGCTTCTTCGGCTACTTTCCTAAGGAGAAAAGACAATTTATTTTATTTTATTGTATTTTTCCTTCCGACTAAAGTGAAGCAAATAAACATTTTGCGGCTGTATCATCTGTAAGAGCAAATCACAGCTCGGCCGCGCGTTTCTAGCAAAGCCTCCTCCCTTCTGGTTATGTTATGCCATTTTCTGTTTGTAATTATTTTTATTTTAATTTTATGTCATTTCTAACAGAATCCAGACCGGTTTTTTTCCCCTCCGCGTTTTGTACACAATGCTCTCCCTCTCGATAAGATGTTCTTTCCTATCTTTTCGGGTTTTCTTCTGAAAAAAAAATGTTTATAGTTCCCCAGGAGCAGTCCTCCGATATTTCGCTCTCGCGTTTGAAGGACTTGTCCCTGTCTTGCTTTATTTGTTTGTGTGAAATTCAGTTTGAAAGGAGATCAGAGGGAGCAGGAGGGGTTTGTAATAAGAGAATGACCAAGTGACCTACAGGCTGATTATATGTCATTAACTGGAGACTCGCTGTATCCAAATTACCGAAAAGACCTCGCTCGGCCGGGATCGGTTACACCGCGACACGCCGCGCAGGAACCGCGCTGCGGGGCTGACGCCGCGGACAAGTGCGGGGCCGGGGGTTGCGGGACCCGGCCGGGGGTTGCGGGGAGTCCCTGCCCCGCACCGCGGGGTGTGGGGGGGGAGGTGGGGTGGCACCGCCGGGAGGACACCCGCGTTTGGGGCGCGCGGTTAGGGCGAAATTGCAGTTAATTGTCACTGCTCCTGAGGGATCTTTGCCTTTTTTTTTTTTCTTCCCCTTTTTTTTAAGCCAAGCGAGGTTGCCTTTGATCTGTGAACGCCGCTTAAACCCCAGCCTTGTTAAACGGAGCCTTTCGGTGGAGAATGACAATAGAAGTGTTGGTTTTTGTGAGCCCGGAGGATGCCAGCCTGCCCTCCTCTTCCTCCGCCGCCTGCGCCTCGGATGCTGGAGGGACAGCAGATTCCTTAAGGAAAGGGACCGCATCCCTGAGCGGCTGAAGATGCTCTTTCCCAGGAATGCAAACAACATTACGTGGGGAAAAAAACAAACAAACAAACCAAACCCACCCCAAACCCCCGTGTGCGTGTCTGTGTACATCGACACGCGTGTTTCTGCGTGTGTGTGTACAGATTTATACGGCAAAGCCCCCGGAGACACGCCGTGCCCGGTTCTGTCAGGTCTTTGGCGTCCTTCTCCTGCCAAAGAAGGGGTCCTCGTTGAGTTTTCGTTGTGTTTTTCTTCTCTTTCCGCGATTCCCGCCCAGGCTCTCAATGCAGCTCTGGATCCTCGGTCACAAATATAAGCAATCCTCCAATAATTGCTTGCACATGCAGCGGTAAAACGCGTCGGGTCCCGCGCTTACCGCCAATCATCGCGCCTCTGCGGAATGGTCAGTGTCTTGGGGGTTTCTCGTCCCTGCTCTTTTTTTTTTTTTTTCCTTTTTTTTCCCCCTTTTTTTCCTTCTTTTCTTTTTCCCTTTTTTTTCTTTTTTCTTTTTTCTTTTTTCCTTTTTCCTTTTTCTTTTTTCCTTTTTCTTTTTTCTTTTTTTCTTTTTTCTTTTTTCTTTCTTCTTTTTTCTTTTTTCTTTTTTCTTTCTTCTTCTTTTTTCTTTTTTTTTTCCTTTTCTTTTCCTTTTTTCTTTTTCTTTTCCTTTTCCTTTTTTCTTTTTCTTTTCCTTTTCCTTTTTTCTTTTTCTTTTCCTTTTTTTTTTCTTTCTCTTTTTTTTTCAGCATACACAACGGCTGCGAGATTATCATGCCTGAAATCTGTAGGCGTTCGTTACCGACACTGGTAACGCAAACCAGGGTTCCTCCAAACCTCCAGCGGCAGCAATTAATTCGGGGCTGCGGGGCCCGCTCCTGCCCCCCGCCCTGGCCGCGGCGGTGTGCATGGCACGGACACGGAGGGCATGAGCAGGCCCAGGGCCACTAGTCCTCGCCATTAACCCGCACTGACAGGTTGACCTTCAAATGATATTTCTCCGGCGCCTCTTGCCAAAAATCCTTTTTCTTGCGGTTTTTTCTTTTTTTTTTTTTTTTTTTTTTAGCCCGCCGATTCCCCCGCCGTGGCCCGGGGGTGGCACCTCTGGGACAGGGGCTGCACCCCCAAACCCCCCCAAGAGGGGTGTCCCTTCCCCGTCCCTTTGGTCCCGGCTCAATGACATCGTGTTCTCTATAAACCCAAACGCGTCCCGGCTTTTCCAGCCGCTCGGTGCGGGGGGGATCCCGCAGCCCCGACCCCCGGCCGCGCACCCCGGGCTTTTGGGAGCCGTCGGGGGGGCGGGGTGGGGGGCTGTCTGTCCCACCAGGGCTGCGCCTCAGGGACCTTGGGGTGCCTTTGGGGTGCTTTGGCGGGTCTGGTCGGTTGGTTGATTTAATTAAAAACCTAAAGACGACTCAGGGTGACCCGGCTCGGGGCTGAGCTCGGTACCGACCCCCCCGCCGCTGCCCTGCCCCGGGGGGGCTGCCTGCCCCCCAGCATCGCCCCGCCGGTACCGGGCACGAAGGTGCAGAAAAAGAGCCAAGAATTAGGGAACGGCTTCTCGGACACCGGCCGGGAGCTCCCCAGCCCCGGGCCTGCTCATCCCAGCGCCCGGCCCGGCCTGCCAGCAGCTCGCCCAGATAGCCCCCCCGAGAAAAGGGTCCCCCCAACCCCCCCACCTATTCCCCGGGCCGTACGCCTTCCTCTCATTCGGAGAAATTAGCTTCATTTGCAGTTTAGCCGAATTCACCCCAGCCCTGGCTGGGGAGGGTGCCCAGCTCTATTGTTTGGTGATCCCCAAATGCCCCCCCCGCCGTGGGCCGG